AAAAAATATGTACTCGAATTTAAATGTGCATATCGAAATACGGTTTTTTCTTTCTCTATATTTATTTGCATGTTTAATAAGTAGGTAAATTTCACGAAAAATAACCTGGCAAACGTCTTCAAACAGTTGTTTATTATTTTTATTGGAAGACATAAAAATGCTTGTTCTCGCTTTTTTATAAGAGTTGACAGCATTGAAAATATCGACCGCTACACAAAAAAGTTAAGGTTACAATCATAACCTTCTAATAATTATAATTAAGATTGTAGCTGTGACTAATAATTTTTACTTTATTTTTTTTTTTAAATTAATAATAATTGCAATGATATACTCTAGTCAAAGATGACTAATTGTCATAGCGAAAAAGCAGCCACTAATAATTCTCGTCAATAGCAATTTGTATCCCGAACATTTGGCAGTCAATTTTCATGTAAAATTGTCCCCTGAATCCGAAAATGTCGTCAAAAGTTTTCCATATAATATGCAGTTGAATGTATCTCAAAAACTGCTTTACTTTAACAATTTTTGACGGTATTTTCAGATTCAGAGGACAATTTTACACAAGAATTGGCTGTTAAATGTTGGGGATGCAATGGTATATGAGGCGCCGTTTGTGCCATAATTATGTTGCTAATATATATTTATTTTTGTTTGATTATATATATTTTTTAAATTTATTTTTAAATTTACTTAATATATTTATTATTTTACTCAAAATATATTTATTTTTTAAGAACAATATATTTATTTTTGTGTGTTAATATTAATAATATTATAATAATATTATTAATAATATTATGTTTCTTTGACATCTGCTAATATATATTTGTTTTTTTGACAGACAATTCAATGTGGCAACGTGGCATTCTCATTTAACCCGTTGTTCATAGATGTCGTTGTTCTTTTAAGTTTACAGTCATAGATGTCGAAGTTTTTGTCGTAGTCTTCACTATTTCTTTCGTTTATAAATAAAAACAATCGCTGATAGAATCTAACCTCAAAAATTCAAAAAATATTGCCGGTAAACTTAAAAAAACTACATCTATGAACAACGGGTTAAATGACTGTAAACTTAAAAGAACAACGACATCTATGAACAACGGGTTAAATGACAATGCCACGTCGCCACATTGAATTGTCTGTCAAAAAAACAAATATATATTAGCAGATGTCAAAAAAACATAATATTATTAATAATATTATTATAATATTATTAATATTAACACACAAAAATAAATATATTGTTCTTAAAAAATAAATATGTTTTGAGTAAAATAATAAATATATTTAGTAAATTTAAAAATAAATTTAAAAAATATATATAATCAAACAAAAATAAATATATATTAGCAACATAATTATGGCACAAACGGCGCCTCATAATGGTATCCCATGGTTAACCATGGTATAAGTGAAAAATCAGCCACTAATAACTGTAGTAACTAATTCATTTTTAGAGCGTTAATATTTCCAAAATTTATCAAAACATGCAAATTGGGAAGGTTTGTTCCTACCGAGCATTTTGACTGTCAAATGGACTTCTCGATTTTACCATTGTGCAGTGGTCCTGGCCGATTTGCTAGGTATACCGGTATCCTATAGGAACAAGCCCAATATTATTGGAGTCTAGATACTTTGTTCCGTTGTAAATTATTAAATTACCTTGAATTAATTGGAGTAAATATTTTTTTCAGTAATCTACATACATAAATGATCTGTGCGTCATTGAAACATATACATGTATTTTGTGTACACCCACTTTTAAGTAATAAATACATTCATGTATGTAGGTTAATAATAATTTTATAGTTTGCGACCTATCAATTTATACATTTGTCATTACCTTAATATTATTAAGCCATGGGGGAATGAAATAAAAATGAAATAAACAGAAATAGGTCTTGGATATATCTATAGACCTTTCTTATATTATCAAAGTAAGTTATTTTATTGTTACTAGCGATGTTTGCAAATTTCAATAACAATGTTAAATTTACAAAACGTAATGTTGCCAAATTACGAAAAGCGATGTTGCCACACTTCAATGTTCCCAGACTTTACAACGTTGCCGAATTATGCCAATATTACCTAAAATTACTTTAAAAACATCTTTGGAGTATTAGGTTCCAGACATTTGGTACGTGTGCATAAAATTATTTCATTAGAGATAAGGCAGCTGGCTTCAAGGTAATTCTATATTTTAATTTTATTAAAAACCGAGAAGATCGTATTTTAGATAAAAACATTATACTTTGCAATAACTAACGGGAACTTAATTGCTTACGGGGAAGATAAAAAATAGCAATTTATCGCTAATGTTAATTATGGGATTTATTGAGACAAATTAATATTTGTAGATTCACTTCCTGTATAGCTTTTTGTTTGGGAAAAAAATATTTAGTTTCCTATATTGCATTATTAGTACCTTTAAATGTTAACAGAATAATTTAGAACCCCCTACAAATACCTACATATTATGGAATTGAAAAAACATAACAAATACCCAAATTCCAAAAAAAATGTTTATAAATATTGCAAAAAAATATTTTCCGAATTCAAGATTTTTTATTTAAATTGATCTTATCTGGAATCTTTTTCAACAAACATTGGGAGTATACATATAGTATATGTATGTTGTAAAAAAATCGACTTTTCTAGTGCCAAATCTTTCCATAATATTTTAAAATAAAAAAAGTATTTTTTTTGTATCGTAACCAAAAAAAAATCTGGAAAATTTATCAAAAACAAAAAACTTGAAAGGAGGTCTTTATTTGTACATATTATGTGTACAATTAATTAATTGCATATAGAAATAAATTACCGTGTTATGAAAATGTCGAAATATACATTATATACAGTGTGTATCATCCAAATGGGAATAAATTCGATAATACATAAATGGAGTATACAGTATACTGTATACTTCAAAAAACACATTTTTTTCCACAAAAACTTTTTGTACAGGTTGTGTCATGTAGCCAAATTTCTTATTTCAAAAGCAACACCCTGTATATTATTCAATTTTTGGATTCATTAGAAAATTGTAGACATATTTTATGTTCACTTATATTAAAAAATTAACATTAAATAACTATAATTATTTAATTAAAGAAATTCGCTAAAACACACTAAAAAACTAATAAGTAATAATGTTTATTTTTTAATGTAATAAACAAAAAAAAACTTTTAAGCATTCTGTAAAACATGTATTGATTGGGCGTATATTATTTTTATATACCTTGTAAGGTATATAAAAAGACTTGAAACAATATAAACAAGGTAAACCTATAGATTTTTGTAGTTGTAGTTGATGTTTACGCTTTTATTTTTTTAAATAATGAAGTTGCTATTTTTTACAATTTTCTGAGGTCTGTAGATCATACACTTTCAAGGTGGTTGCGACTTTTAGGACACCTTGTATAGTAAAATTATATTTCAACTTCGGGAAACATATTTAAATCTTGAAATCAAGCTTAAAAAAATTATTGATTATGTAGGTATAGGTTTTTCATAAAATATTATAAATGAAGCTAGTAGTAGAATTCTTACATTTTAAAACAATTTTTAAGTACAAACACTGTGACCCCTGTTTGCGACTCACCCCCAAGCCTGGATTAAGGGGGGCCTAAAAGGGCTGAAGCCCTGGGCCCCGCGATTTAGTAGGGCCCCGCTTTGAAAAAATTTCAGCCGAACAATTTCAGTGTAGTAGTAATAGTGTTTTTGTTACATCAGGAATACCTATAGTTTTTTAAAATATTTTTTGCATTTTATCTACAAAGGGCCCCTAAAGTTTTATTAGCCCCGGGCCCAACGAAAGCTTAATCCGGCCTTGCTCACCCCTGTAAAATCTTTATTTATTGTGCGATTTTAACCGGATTTCTTTATAAATAAAATAATTGTTAAAAGAATTTCTACGTCATTAGCTACAGCTGAAATTTTTCATTGTAAAATATTTTATAAAATCGTATAAAATTTTGTAAAATTTCACAGAAATAAAAAGATTATGTAAAAAAAAGTCCTAAATTTAAGTAAAACTAGTACCAGATTCTTTTAATGTAATAAAAAAATTTTAATTTATCGGAATCTCTTGTCAATAATTTTCACTTATCTCTTTTCAATAACTTTTACTTCTTTAATAATAAAATAAAATCACATATTTTCAAAAATTAACAATTTATTTTCATAAAAATAATGATAATTTTGCAGTCACATTAAAAAAATGGAAAAATTTACTATATTTATTTAAATTTATTTAAATAACTTTTAAACCAGTGAATTTATCGAAAAATTATAAGAGAGCTTTTTTGTACAGCGTCCAATTTCCTATAAATATATGTATCACTATTTGCTGTATATTAACTTGCTCGGGAGAGAAAAAAATAAATGTAAAACTTGCCGAAACCCCATGTTATTTAAAAGGAAAAAGTATCGTCTTTGTGGCATATGAATATTTTTTTATAATTTTTTATAGGTCATAAACTAAAAATTTAGGGGGCGCTGCGAACAGAAAACCAAGTTGGTAAATAACGAAAACCCTGATGTACATATTTGTAATTTTTGTTCTAAAGAAGATACAAAATTATGTACACTAATACCCAATCATGATTTTGCAAAATAGGTAGACAATGATTATATCGTCAGCGTAATTATATCAGTAAAGAATGTCATTAGATTATTTTCCAGAGGTTTCCACTTTCTAATTTTATTTTGATTTTAAATTAAACTATAAAATAAAGGTACTTATTTCTTAGGTAAATTGTAATTTTCCATGTAACCACTTTGATAAAAAAGATTTTTTTATAAATAATACATTATTATTATTGCATGTCATCAAAATCTTTATTTACTTTTATATTCTTTCTACTTTTACATCTTATTTAAAAATAGCAAACTAACAACAACAAGATAATTCACCTTAACAAACTTTATTACTCTAAATTGCGACCACTTAAGTAAGTAACCTTAATTCATCAAGATACTTGTCCAGCATCATTACTTACCATCATAGGCAGCTCTTCAAGGATACCAAGACGACGAAAACAAAATCAATCGGAAACCCAGGTAACACTATTGTTGAGTATTCGAACAATTTTTTCACTGATAGCGTGGATGTTTGGAAACTTAACTGATAACTCGGGAGCACAAAGCGTTTTTAACTGCAGGTAAGCGCGGCTGCGAGCGGACCAACGTACCTTGTTCACTTTCTAAACACAACTGATTGCAATGAGTCAGTCAGTTTGTGATATCGTGTGTTGTGAGCGGTGTTACTACGCTACGTCATGCATTCAATTGGATTTTTTTGTGGGACGCGATAAACGCAAAGGTGCAACTAATGATCGTTAACATTTATTACGATTTAAGGCCGATTCTCATCTAAGCAGGGCAGAGCAGAGCGGCGCGGAGCAGGGCAGCGCGGCAAAATGCTGCTCTCAATTGTTTACATGTAATTAAGTGGTCCCGTCCTCACCTAGGCATAGCGGCGCAGAGCCGAGCGTCGCGGTACAATGCAGAAAATTTTTAACGCGTTCGAAAGCATTGACTAGCGGCACTGATGCTTTGAAACGCGCTCTTCTGCCTGTTGACGGACAAGTGGGAATCGAGAAGCGTAGCAAAGCGGCGCGGCGCTGCGCTGCGATTTGAAAAAAACAAAGTTTGTTTTGCATTTATTGCATTTTGCATTTATTTATTTCTTTATTATTTAAATCTTTTGAGTTAGAGAATTAATATGGACGGGGAAAAAATTGAAAAATTAATTTTACTCGTAAATGAGTATGAAGAACTGTACGATATGTCAAATAAAAATTACAGCAACCAAAATAGACGGGAGATTATTTGGGGAGAAATAGTAGAAAATGTAGAATCATTCTTGGGCGTGTATGTAAACATTATTAATGTCACTAAACTAACAACTATTTGATACTGCTAGTAGCAGCCTGCTACCTATAAAAGAATGCTTCTTACAAAATGCTGCGCGCCGCGCTGCTTGATGCTGCCTAGATGAGAATCGCTATAGCAGAATGTTGCGCCGCGCTGCGCTGCCCTGCTCCGCGCCGCTCTGCTCTGCCCTGCTTAGATGAGAATCGGCCTTTAGATTTGTTTTTTTATTTGTCGAGAGATTTTTTAAAGCATCTTTATTATATCCTTTTAAATTTTTATAAAATTGTATTAGGGTGAATGTCCCTCGATGGCAGGGCCGGATTAAGAGTTTTGAGGCCCTGGGGCCGACATTTGGTGGGGGCCCTCATTATTTCTAAAAATTTTGACACTTGGGAAATTAAAACTCATGGTTAATCTTTAAGCTAGATGAACTTTACGTGATTTTTTATTTTCTTTGAATCATTTATTATTTAATAAACCATATAAATTTTAATAAAATCGGCCAAAGCGTTTTTAAGCTTTAAATAAATAACGAAACACCCTGTATCTCGATAATGATAAGCATTTTCGGACACGTGTTTATAGGAATTTTTTTCATATTTTGATGAGCTTTTGTCACCACAATTCTGAATCACCCGGTATATTTTGAATAATACGAACCTTATATACATTTTACCCAAGTCTGAGAAATTATTAATTCGTATGCAAAACTATAAAAACGTAGATAGTAGAATAGAATTGTGAATGAAAGTGTTTTTATATATACTTTATATTTTATATATTTTGAATAGTACGAACATACCCTTATATACATTTTACTCAATTAAAATATAAATTGATCACGAAACAGTATTTCGGAAACACCGGAAAATATTCCACAACACTCCAATGTACCAATAAAAATCTGGGACAAAAACTAACTTTAATATTAGATTATAAGTAATTGACTGTTTGCCTGTATTTACAAAAAATTTACGACAAGCACTAAAGGAGCAACTGCTTAAAATTGTTATGAGTCATAACTTACGACTATAGACTATATTAAAACGTCTTCGCGCGCCAAAACTTTGAGTGTGATATTTTACATTCTGATTTGCAAGCGGATAAGCAATAAAAATTAGAGTAAGATCTACGAAAAATTAACTGAAAATAACAGGATTCGCGCGGTATAACCGTCCCAATTTTTTGTTTTTTCGCCAATTTTTTTCATATTTGTTTCATTAAAAAGCTACAAATTGCATTGGTGGGGGCCCCTAAACGGTGGGGGCCCTGGGGCCGTGGCCCCGCTGGCCCCATGCTAAATCCGGCGCTGCTCGATGGTGTTACCCCGTGATATTTAATAAAACTAAATGAGTTTGACCTACACTTTTATTGTGTTTTGATCTTTCATAACACTGTGCAACACAAAAAATTAACTGGGATCAAATCTGAAAAAATCGAATCTAGGCAACCCCCAAAACAAATCCTTTAAGGGGTTTTACCAGTTTAGCTCGAATAATGGAGATATACAGGGTGTTTCTTTTAACTTGAGACAGCTCAATATCTCGAGAAATACGCATTTCACGGAAAAATGTCTTAAATAAAAGGTTAATGTGACTAAAGGGGACATTATTTGGTGCTACCGCTAGCCACCCCCTACCCCTCCTTAAAGGTGAAACGGGGGGTAACTTTGGAAAGTCAAATGAAATGACCCGATTTTTTTCACAGAGTTTGGTAGTACATAAAAAAATAAATAACTTTTATTTAAAAAATTTTTCAATTTATCAACAGATGGCGCTGTAATTCAAAATTTAAGAAAAATGAGTTTCCTTGTAAAATGTATTATTTGAAACGTTTGAAAAACAAAAATTAACATTAACAACAATAGTCGACTATGAAAACAATTTATAACAAATGTTCGAAATGTCGTCATTCCATTTCAACACATTTTTTAATGCGGGTAATGAATTCTGGCACACAACGCGCCAACATGTCGGGCGGTATCGCCGCACAGGCGTTCCTGTTCCGCTCCACCATGTCCTCCCAAGTTGTAGGAATTGCAGCGTAAACTTTTTCTTTCAAGTAACACCACTGGAAGAAGTCTGGAGGCGTAAGATCAGGTGATCGAGCAGGCCAAATTACTGGACCACGTCTACCGATCCACCGCGGTGCACCGGCCATTGAACTCCCGATCCAACACCTCTCGAGCAATTGTCGAATAATGTGCAGGACAACCATCTTGCTGGTACCACATGTTTTGGAGCCGTGCTAGTGGTACATCCTCCAAAAAGTCCGTCAGATCGTTTTCTAGAAAATTCCGGTACTTTTCGCCATTTAATGCACCGTCAATAAAGAAGGGTCCGATTAATCGTTCGCTTAAGGTACCGCACCAAACGTTTACCGACCAGGGACGCTGGTGCTCCACTTGGTGTCGAAATGGAAGGACGACATTTCGAACATTTGTTATAAATTGTTTTCAGAGCCGACTATTGTTGATTTAATGTTAATTTTTGTTTTTCAAACGTTTCAAATAATACATTTTACAAGGAAACCCCTTTTTCTTAAATTTTGAATTACAGCGCCATCTGTTGATATATTGAAAAAAACTTTCAAATAAAAGTTATTCATTTTTTTATGTACTACCAAACTCTGTGAAAAAAATCGGGTCATTCTATTTGACTTTCCAAAGTTACCCCCCGTTTCACCCTTAAGGAGGGGTAGGGGGTGGCTAGCGGTAGCACCAAATAATGTCCCCTTTGGTCATATTAACCTTTTATTTAAGACATTTTTTCGTGAAATGCGTATTTCTCGAGATATTGAGCTGTCTCAAGTTAAAAGAAACACCCTGTATATCTCCATTATTCGAGCTAAACTAGCAAAACCCCTTTAAAGATTAGTTTTGGGGGTTGCATAGATTCGATTTTTCCACATTTCATCCCAGTTCAAATTGTAAGGTCAAAATTTGTCGCACAGTGTAATTAAGTAGATATTACAGCTCAGGTTCCAGATTTTTAACAGCAATTATTTATTTTTTACAATGTTTTAAAAGTCTAAAACCTATCCTCCGTGATTGTTACTCTTTCTAGGTTAACCTATATGTTTTCAAATATCTGAGGTTGTAATGGTACGATATACGGGGCTGTTAATTTTTAACATTTCTTAATTTATTATTTTTAAGCTTTACGAAATATGAGACTAATTTTAAATATTTGTTTTTAAAATTGTATTAGGTGTTAGGTATAAGTTTCACTTCCATACATTCTTTATTTGTTTATTATACAATAATAATTTATGACTCCCATCTGGACGACCACTTAAGGGTTCGTTACAGAAAGACCAAATAAGCAAGTTTTGGTTCATGTTCCTGGTCTTTAAAAAATAAACATAAAAAGAGCGTAGTTATGTTATATGTCATTTCACACCTTTCTTAAAAGCATTCTCTAGTTAGGCCCTTTACTTTAGGATATTAGTTTTAAGTATCTTTAAGTATTCATAGATGCATGAGAATTTTATGTATTTTTTAGTTTTCAAGACCATTCTAAAAATTGTGAGCAACGAACGTAGTCGTTCACTGAATTTTTGTTTCACCTAATATATAAATACTTAAGTAAAGTATATAGTTTTTTTTGCTAAATTTATCAACGAATAACTTAATTGGCGCAGTCGTTAAGGATAGTGCAAAAGTCCGCTGAAGAAATTTGCGTACTTTTTGGTATTAACCATTAATGCTCTACATCGAACCAGAACTTCCAAATAAGTGCTTATTACATAAGAGTACATCTATAATAATTAGTGCTACAAATCGTCGAAGTTTGGACCTGAATTAAGGCAACGCCGTTCCAGCCCCAGACAAGACCCCCTGCTGTTGTGCGTACCAAATAAGTGCTTATTACATTGGAGTACATCTATAATAATTAGTGCTACAAATCGTCGAAGTTTGGACCTGACTTAAGGCAACGCCGTTCCAGCCCCAGACAAGACCCCCTGCTGTTGTGTGTACCAACTCACCCAGATAATAAATCAAAGGTATTGTGTGCATGCTTAACTGTTTTCCTTCTTTCTCAACAATCCTTTAGCGAATTTTGAATATACGTATATTGCTACCTACCTTTTGTCAAGTAATTTATAATATACCTATTATTGTATGATTAATCTTAATAATATTATAGAAGATTTTGCTAATATGGCGTTAAATAATCAACAAATTAATAATAATGCACCGAATGTGCTTTCAATTCGAGATGCCAAAGAAATGGCAACAACTTTGCGACCTTTCAATGGTCACCATTTAAATTTAACAACATTTTTATTAGATGTAGATTCGTATTATAATACATACGGCAGAACCTTAGATCAAAAT